CCAATTCCAATATATTCACATGTCTAAAATCCAAATTTAGATAAATTTTTCACATGAATGTTCCCATTCAACATAATTTAAGTGATATAAATGTAGAGAAGAAAACTTAGGTATTAAGCATGTAAATACATGAGAATAGAGTTGTATGCATGTATGTCCTTTAAAGGATGAAAGAAACTTCAAGCGAATCATTTATTCCATCACAAACAAAACTAATGAAATAACAACACAAATGCTTTTTTTTGTTCTTTTTTTGTAGTCGAGAGAACCATTAGAGCCAAATTATCTGCAATCCAGTAAGAACATTGAGCAAATAACCAAGATATTTAGTCATTAAGAGAGGGAGCAGGGATTACCTTGCTCGAGCTCTACTCAAAGAAAAAGAGACAAAATTTCGAGAGACTTCAAGCCCATAAGTGTTGAACCAACCTGAAAAAAATTTAACAGAACAACAACAACCCCTAACCCTTCCTCCAATAGGGGTTTTATTGCCAAAGTGGGAGGAGGACTTTTATTTCCACTTACCTGGGGTGAAATGATCAAAGAGGACGACTAGGGAAGCGACAACAAGGGTTACATGTAGAAAGCTTTAGCAGGGAGCTAAAGACATCGAGAAGGAGGGGCTTAACCAACCAAATGCTTTGAGGAGACAAGCCCACAAGGGTCAACTTACCAAAGGGGGAAACAAAGGTTCACAAAGGCCTGGTGTCCTGACAGACGAAACAATGGCAGGCTTTGAGAAGAAAAGCCTCGAGCAGAGGGTGTCGGGCAAGAGGTCAACTGTACTGTCTGTTTATAAATTAAATTAAAAAAGAAATGATTTTAGGTAATTTCATTCAGGTGTTATTGGAGGTGTTATTTAGGTTGTATTATAGTGCTATAGAGATTCTGTGGGCATTGGTGTTTTTCACAGTGTTATTTGAGTTGTATTATGGTCGTACTGCGGTTCTGCGAGCAACAGTGTTATTGACGATGTTATGCATGTTGCATCACTGTAGTATTGGAGGAAACGATAGTGGTCGTGGTATTTGGGGTGTTACCATAGTAATATTATGGCAGTATTGGTGACAAACTGCAGAAATGATGTTATTTGATGTGTTACCGCGGTAGTATTCAGGCTTTACCGTAGTTTTGTGGCAATGGTGCTATCATTGGGGTTATTATATGTCATATTTGGGTGTTAGCGCGGCAGTATTATGCGCGGGGTCCAAAACAATCAGTGGCATTGGCGATGAAATGGGGTTTTTGCGGGTGCATTAGCGATAAAATGCTGCGTCGTGGTGTTATTGTGCGACGAGTTAGAGTTTCACAGGTGTATTGAGGTGTACTGGGGTTATTGTGTGCGTATCGTGGTGTTATTGTTGTTTTGCGGTAGTGTTGTGGCATTATTTGGAGTTTTGCAATTGTAATATGGTATTATCGGGATTTTTGTAGTGTTATGGGCATTTAGCGATCTTATCAACCTGAGATGACATTTTTATAGTGTTGTTAGACTTGTGGAGGTAGTATTGTGCAGCGAGGCGTCCTTTTTACTATGTTATTTATAATTTTGTGGTGTTATTTCCTTGAATTTGATCAGAAGCATGACTTAATGAAGTGTCATCTTTAGCAAAATCATTATCAGTTGATGAATGTTAAAAATTTTTATGTACATTGATTTAGGTGTAATTTACCCGTTCGCGAAACTGTAGTAATATGGGTGTCCCTAAGGCCTTGATATCCTATGAGAACTCTCTTTGAGCCTCCACATGTTGGTCATAGCCACCTAATCAAATGGTGATGGCTTGTGCTCCTAGCCACTCAACCAAATGGTGATGGCTTGTAGCCCTTGCCACTCAATTAAATGGGTATGACTTGAGACAACCCATGTGAGGCCTTCCAAGAGAACTAAGATGTGGTATGATTTTTTAAATGGGGTGGGCTACATTACTAGTCTTTTAGGATAGTCAATACAAATAATTAGACCTCATAAAAAATGAGGCCAACACCTTGCCCAATCAAAGTAATATACAACGTGTTTGTAAGTACATAAGTCAACTTCTCATGTATTATAAAAGATGGAATTACAATACTCATAGTATAAATGTACAATAGTAAGTTAGCTATAATTGTTGTAATTGGGCTACAATAAATAAAGTTGATCGTGAGGACTGTAGTAGGTGGCTACCATAGCGACAATTGGTCATAGAGGCTATAAGTGGAAGTTGTAACAATAGTGGAACAAAAAAGATATAATTGGTTGCTACACATGCAATATTGGTTGAAAACTTGCAATATTGTCATTTATAGGGTTTAGTTGGCGGTCACAATAGTAACAATTAGCCACCAAGATCTTAATTAGAAGATGTACCAATAGTAATTGGCCACAAAGACCATAGTTGGCGATTATAATATCGTCAGTTGGCTATGCGAGCTATAATTAACGACTACAATAACGTTAGTTGGCCATAAAGTTCGTTATTAGAAGCTGTAGTAATAATCAACTACATAAGCCATATTTGGGACTGCAATAGCATTAGTTGGTCATAAAGGCCATAATTGAAAGATGTAGTAGTGGTTGGTCATATTGGTTATAGATGAGAGTTATAATAGCTCCAGTTTGTCGCATAGGTCATAGTTAAAAGCTGTAGCAATTGTTGACCGCATAGTCCGTAGTTGGGGGCTGCAACAACGCCAATTGACCTTAAAGAGCATAGTTAAAAGCTATAGTAGCTGGTAATATAGGTTTTATTTGGGGGCTGCAATAACTTCAGTTGGTCACAAAAGCCATAATTGAATGTTTCACTAGTTGGTCACATATGACGTAATTGGGGGTTGCAATAGCATAAGTTAGTCAAAAAGCCATAATTGAGAGTTGTAGTACTAACAGGCCATAGTCCGTGACTGGATCCCTTCTCTCATAACGTGGTTACAATTTTACACTAAACACTACATTTGTTAATACACAATGAAAATAAAGATACATGTTTTAGGTACATCCATCGTATTTTGGCTACCACTATCATTAGCAGCGACTGTGGGTGGCAGGTGGCAAGTGGTGACGTTCAATTGTGGTTGACATTGCTTAGCGACTGTTGAGGCCATAAGTTATCATCATGTCTTTAATACAATGCTATATGTTACAACTTTTTTTAATGAAGTTAGCAAGCGGGGGTTGTTGACGGTGGCGAGCATGAGCAACCAATGGTGGTTGATGGTGGGCGACAGAGGTGGTAGATGGCGGTCAGAGGATACAGAGGTCGTAAGTTATCGCGAGATCTTCAATATGACATTATATATTATGTCCGTTTTTGGGATATGACATTGTCAAACAGGGGTAGCCAATGGCAGTGAGTGGGGGCGGCCGACGGTGGTTGATAGTTGTCGCCGACTATAAAAGACCGCAATTATCCTCCAATACATCATTATACGTTACATTCATATTTTGGATACAATGTTAGCAAGCAGAGGTTATCAACTGCAGTGAGTAGGGGTGACCAGTGGTGGTGGATGGTAGCTGACAAGCGATAATTGACGATGATCAACAATTATGGTGGTTAAAAGTTATCACTGTATCTTCAGTTCATAATAGGATTTGTATCATTCTGTTCTCCTCATCCCCCTTGAACTGAATAGATGAGGTCCATTTATAGCCTATGGGTAGGAGCTTTTTGGTCTTTTGGGGAATAACTTCCTCAACCACATGATTAGATGACTCCCATTGATCTCTATTGATCATAGAGAATTTTAATAATTTGAGTCTTATTAAACTCATCTTGATCTTAGACTCATGGCGTTCCTCTCGTTAAGACGCTCAATTTGAGCATATCTATGTCCAATTTGGAGTTCATTCACCATTCAATTGATAATTTAAAACCTCCAAAAGTGCTTTAATGATTTCATTCAGGCCTGGTTGGATTTAAATCAAACCAATTTTATTATCATTGGGTTCGTCTTGTCGAGATGATCAGGTTGATTATAAACTTGCTAAAATTGGGGCCTCGAACGATCTTGAATTTTAATTTGAAAATATTTCTTGCTAAAAATATCTTGAGATTTATACAAGGTAAAAAAAAATTTCTTGATGAAACATCAATTTTAAATGAAAAAATCCTTAGATTATCTTACATTTCACGAAGATTTGAACTAATGATTTCAAAGCACATAGGTGAGTTTTGTTGATAATTTTTTTAGGCAAGATTGTTTATCCATTAGAGCCATACCAAATTTAATCTTCAGTGGGATTAAGAATTATAAGTCTTACATTGTATAAGAAGTAAATTTAAGTTACCATATCGAAAGTGATTTTGACCTTAGTTTTTAAACATGAGGTAGACAATTTCTTAATTGCTCCATCATAAATCCTTTTTTGTTAGGTATTTTCTCAATCTTAAATTGATTAAATATAAAATATAATTTTTAATTAATTTCTCAAATTTAAAATTTATGATAAAAAACCTATTCTAAAACAGTTTATCTTCATATTTTTATCATTTGGCATTTAAAATAAAAAATTATTCTCAAAGGGGAAGTCAATATAAATTCTTATAAAAAAAGTCATAAAATATTTGTCTTTATTTGAATTAATAATTTTTGTAATGATATTATTATTGAGATATAATTAATTAAATTTTTCAAGAGCTTTTTCTTATATACTTTAGATAAGATAAATCATGTTTTATCTAAATTTGATAGAAAATTTTTGGAGAATGTACTTCTAATTTTTCTTATTAAATTTATTTTAAAATAATAATTTTTTTTAAGATTAAGAGCCATTTTAGGGCAGCTTATAAGTGCGTGCGGCGGTATTTTTAAAAAATTCATCTAATCTTTTGGTTTGCATATTTTCAAAAATACTGTCTACCACATTTGAATTTTTCTTGCTAAACACAGGCTGGGCCTTGCCCTAAACATATCCTAAAATAAATAAATAATGAGATGAAAATACATATCAATTTTAATCTCTAGACATTCTCGAGCATTAGTCGGCCAATATACACGACACCAGGGTTTAGGGTTTACAGAACGAGGGGGCAGGAGAGAGAGAGAGAGAGAGAGAGAGAGAGTCGAAGAGTGGCAGCGAATCGAAGCTGCTTCCTCTACTTCTTCGTGATTCAGAAGGGCCGGCAAGGGTTTTATTGGATTCCTAATTATCATTCCAATGCTCAATTTATGCCATTAGTAAATCTTTTATGGTGGAAGTGTGATATGTGACAGTGTTTGCACATCAATTGCGTCCTTAGTTCTTGTTCTTTTCTACTCATTGTTTCATAGCAACCTGTTTATTGGTTATAAGTTCTTCATAGAATGGCAGTCGGGATTCACATGAGGAGAAGAGTTGTCCGTAATAAGTTTTCCGATGGACGTCGAGGCGGATATGCCAGGGAAGATTCTGATGGTGAGGTCTTTGCAAAAGTGGAAGAATTAGATCACTTATCTAATGTGAGGTCGAAAGGAAGAAGTTTGCGGACGAATATCAAGCAGAGCGATAAAACATTTGCCAGAGGAGAAGAAAATGATTCCAAGCTTTCTCGATGGAGAATGAGGAGATCGGTTTCTAAGGATGCAGGGAAGGAAAGTAACCTTTTGTTGAGGACGCGGAAGGAATGGGGTAAGGATGCTGATGTTGCTAGAAAGGGTAGAGCTGGTGATGTGAGATTGTTTGCAGGGAAACCTGTTAGGGCAATGCGGAAAACTGTTGATCGTGATTTTTCCGATCATGAACATGATAATGGGGGTTTCTACAGAAGAAAAGAAAGGAACATGCAAACTGAAGCATATGCTCGAAAAATTAGTTTGAAAAGGCGAAAGTTTGATGGGGAATTAGCTGATAATGTCTGTGATGTAGAAATGGATGGATTGGAGAAGCCGGCTACGATTAAAGTTGGAGAAAATCAAATTTCTGAGCAAAAGCCTATCAGAAGGCCAACTCGGTTGCTGGACAAAACTGGTAAGAAGATAAGAGTTCAAACAAAATCCATTGAAAATGGCTTAACTGAGACCAGTGCTTCCAAGAAGAAAACTAGGCGAGTTATCAAGATAGACCCATATGATTTTTCAAATAAAAGATTAATTGACGGTGCTCCTAGAAGTGGTCAGTATTTCCTGTTACCTATTCATTCTTTTAGAATTATTTGTTTATTTATTTTGTTGATATTTTTTAAAATGATGCTAGCTTGTCCACTTATGTGTTCTTTATGTATATATGTACTAGAACTTTTTGTTTTGCATGACTTTTTTCTGGGAGATTTAATAGTGTGGCATTAAAAGCCGGAGCTTTGAAGATAGATTAATACTTAGTTTGTTGAACGAAGTCTTGTACTCATTACTAGTTGTATGCGTTAGCATTATGTTTCTTAGGCAAATGCTACCCTTTCTTTATGATTTTTTGTTCTGGGTCAAAATACTAGGGGGGTGTTTGGCTGCAAGTAGGATTTAGTGTTAGTAGGATTTGACAAATCTATAAATTTTAAATCCGTTGAATCCACCCTCCCGTTTTAGTAAATCTGGATTTAAACTGAATCGAAGGCAAAATTTGGGGTATTAAATAAAAATATTCATAAATCCACGGAACTATTTTGGTTGGACTTCGTAAATCCTGTAATATATTATATTAATAGGCGCTACCAAACGCTTCTTAGGGGTAATATGATTTGAGTTCTCACAAGCTGGACTTAAAATCATTTTTTTTTAATTTCGAATAAACTTCAAATTGATTTTGACTAATTTTATGCATAAATATGCACATTATATCTTCTATTATACATATATTATATCATACACATTGTCTATTTTATGCAAATCATCATTTCTGCTTCTATTTTCAAGCTGGATCAATCAATATTTTGCATGTATTATGGCAAGCTGAGAATTTTTTGAATATATTTCAAATCTGGAACGGAGCTTGATCTCAGCTTCTAATAAAGTTGAGTTGATTTCCCTTTTTGCCTCATAGCTTGTGTTGTTCATCCAATGTTTTCCTTAATTTTAGTAAATATTTGATCCTTGGGCATGCATACGTTTGTTACAATCTATTTTGCGTCGTATACAGTGTCATTTGGTTCATCTATCTCATGAAGTGCTTCGATTTGAAGTGGTACACTTTTCCTTGAATCTAATAGATTTGACTTTCTACCATTCAGACATCTCTGTGGAGAAAGAAACTGTGGTTTCAATGAATGCTCAGTTTCGTTCGATACAACCAAGCGACGAAATCCTCTCCTTTGTGGAAGAAAATGTATTATTTGTTAATTATACTTTTGAAAATCGTTTATTGTTTCCCACCTAGCATGCCTTTTAATGTTATAATTATCATATTCATTTTATTATACTTCTTCATAGCTGCTGGGACGTAGGCGTTTGATTGAGTTGCAAAATGCCGGCTACAATGTGAAGCTATCGGCTCCATTAGATAACACACCATTTTCTACTGCAACAGAGAGGGAAAAGATCGAGGACAATGTGAGATTTATTTTTAAAAAAAATATAAATTTGTGTTTTTTTTCTTTTCATCTTTCCTTTATATTGGCACTGTGAAAAGCTTAATTATAATATAATAGTGTTTTAGTGATGCTTTCAACATTATGCACCATTCTGCCAGTCAATAATATTTCTTGATATTTGTCTTTTTTATCTAATCATGAGATTTGTTTATCTTGGAAATGTTTTTCTTAGGTATTTCGGAATAAGTTGGAATTTTTTGCAGCTGCAAAGATTTCCTCATCTTTCCCTTCTCCAACACTTCCTGAGATAGCATTTGCAGGTGATGGTGAAAATATTTTTCTTTTTGAGCTAGTTATGAGTGTTTACTACTAAAAACATAAGCGTTGATCTTGTTTTTCCGGTTTATATTCTTCATATTTCATACCTCTCTCTGTTTTAATTTTACTGCATTATGTAAAAAATACTTGGGCATTTAGGCAGGTCAAATGTTGGCAAATCATCATTGCTAAATGCACTTACCAGACAATGGGGTGTGGTGAGAACATCAGATAAGCCTGGCTTGACTCAGGTACTTCATATTCTTAAGTTTTGATAAAAAATGTATACCACATGTTGGAGATATCGTGCCTAATGTCTATCAACCACCCATGTTTTCATCTCAGACCATCAACTTTTTCAAACTCGCCTCAAAGCTTTGTTTGGTTGATCTTCCTGGTTATGGCTTTGCTTATGCTAAAGAAGAAGTCAAGGAAAATTGGGAGGAGCTTGTGAGTATCCATGCAGAGTTTTGATAATATTTCCTTGGTTGAATTTATTTAGCTCTTTTAGATTTATGCTTTTTGTTTTTTATATAGGTTTATAAGCACCCTGATTCCTTTTACAATTCTACAAGCCTCGTGTTTTGCTTCCTTTCTTATGGTCTCTGAAGGGCCTATTTTCACAAAGATACATGTGGCTTGAATAAAATATGTGCGTATCTAAGTTCTCATTTTGCAGGTTTTTTTGACATGAAAATAAGCATGATATAGATAGTTGTTGACCCGATTTAACAAATATTAGTCACGCTCACAAATTTTTACTCACATTAATTTTGTGGGAAAATACTTACATTTTATTGAACAAAAATAATAAAGTTCTTATATGCAACCTAAATCAACAAAGTACAAGAATTGGGAGCTAATTTGTTAAACAACCCAACTTACAATTTTGGAGGGCTAAGTTGGTAGGTTATAAATTCCACGTGGCTAAGTTATCACGAGGCTGGGCTGATGTAGGTTATTAACTGATTTAAGGTTCAAGTGAAATGTGATAATGCTCAGTTATTTTCATTTTCTTTCCTTTCCTCTCTGATTTGTTTAATTATAAATAGTACATAAATCGAGTCTGAGAGAGGATTAATCATTTTTCATGTGGTTAGCTTTTTTTTTCCTGATTGGATTTTTGCCTTTAGTTCATATTTTATTAAGTTCCCCTATAGATTATAATACTGGAGCTTACCCAAACCACGACTCGAACAAGACTTATTTTATTGCTGAAATTATAAAAGACGAGTTCAAGGATGCTTACTAACCAGCGAGGACTCGAAAATAGCAAACATGAATACATAGAAAATAAAATAGACACACAATCAATGAAACAAAATAGTGATTGCAGAAAATAGGCTTAAGAACAGATCATAAACAGTCCCGGGCAGTGTTGACATGGTGGTGGAAAATCTGCTGGAGGGGCTGAGAAAGTGTTGGCGGTGGTTAGGGGGGCGTCAGAGTGCACGTCAGAGCCTGAGGGGTGCTGGGAGGAGACGACTCGGACTGCAGCTCGCTGGAAAGGGGATGATGGGCGAGATTATAATGGCTGGAATAGCGTTCGGGGAGTTCCGGAGGTGCTGCAGCATTCGGGGAGGCGCCAGAATGAAAGGCAGCAACTATTGGAGGGCTGGGAGGAACCTAGAGGTGCTGTGTAGACTGCTGCAATGAAAGGTAATGCCTTGAAGATCAGCGGAGGTGCTATAGTGAAGGATGGATGTCACCGGGAGGAGGGAACGGAGCGGAGATACATATCACCTTGGCGGGATACAGCCGTAGCACCATTCTATTGATGGATACAACCCTCGAAAGAGGGAAACACCAGTGATACAACCTGAAATCAGAAAACCAATCACACAAAAAACTGGTTAGACCTAAAAAAATATGCAGAAATGGAAGGAAGAAATGGCTAGCTGCAACGGCTAGGAGCGGCGATCAACTAAGGCACAATAGAAGAGGTGAGTGAATCAACACGGTGTGAGATGGGGCGTAGGCGAGCGAAACAAATCGATCGACATTTTAATGCCGAGCGTCGGCCCAGTCTAGCACAGAGAACTGAAACAAAGTCATGCTCGGTCGACCGGTGTGATTTTGGGCGTGAATTGGATGACCCAGCATCAATCCCCCTGGTTGGGGGGGCTTTGACATCATCAGTCGAAGCTTCAGGTTCTTCGTAGTAAGGGGTGAGATCTGCGACATTGAATGTTGCTGAAATTTTGGAGTCTCATGGCATGTCAATTTTGTATGCATCATTATTCAATATTTTTAAAATGCAGAAAGGTTCATCGGCTTTAGTCTTGAGTTTATTGTATGCTCCTACAGGAAAGCGTTCTTTCTTGGGTCGTATCCATACGAGGTTGCCTTCTTGAAATGTCAACTTTTTTCTGGACTTACTTGCTTGGGCTTAATATTTGTGGTTTTGCTTTGAAATTGCTTTTCCAACATTCTTGTGGAGTTGTTGAGTTTGGGAAACACGTTCTGTAGCATCCTCGCTAATCTCTGCGGGTGGTAGGAGTGAGACCAACTTAAGGGGTGTGATCGGGTTGCGGCCATACACAATTTCAAATGACGCATGTCTGTGGTTTGGCTTTTTGATCTATTGTAAGCAAATCCGGCTTGAGCGAGAATGAGAGCCCACTATTTGATATTTTTTCTTACGAAGCAGTGAAGAAGATTCCCAAGGCTCTTATTAACTGTTTTGGCATGACCATCTGTCTGAGGATGTGATGCAAAACTAAATTAAAGCTTTGTGCCTAATTTACTCCAGAGGGTCGCCAGAAGTGGCTTAAAAAATTATCGTCTCGATTTGAAGTAATGATCTTGGGAATGTCGTGAAGTCGAACGATCTCGCAAAAATACAAATCGACGATATGAGATGCATCTAACGTTCGTTGGTAGGCGGTAAAATACGCCATCTTTGAGAATCAATCAACTATGACCATGATAGAGTTCTTATTTCTTTATATGCATGGTAGTCCTATGACAAAGTCTATGCTGATATCGACCTAAGGCGCCTCAGGGACGGTGAAGTTTTGTACATTCTTGTGATTCGCTTGTTTTGGTGATATGACAAATCTTACATTGTCGGACGCCTCGCTCAACATCTCGTGTTATTCGGGGCAAAAAAAAAGTTTTTTCATGAATACAATAGTTTTATCTCTGCCAAAATGGCTAGCTAATCGGCTATTGTGGTTCTCTTGTATGATAGCTTTGTGTAGTGAGCATCGAGGTATGCATAATTTATTGTGGTGGAACAAATAGTAGTCTGTTAGGTAGAATTGTCTGTGAAGTTTCTCTCGACACTCTTCTCCTGGTCGCATTCTGATATGATGATAGCCACTCCGTAGGCTAATTTTGGAGAAGATGGTGGTTCTATATATTTGATCCAAGAGATCGTCGAGGCGTGGTATGAGAAAGCGATATTTTAATGTAATTTTATTGATGACACGACTGTCAATGCACATCCGCTAGGAGCAATCTTTCTTTGGTATGATGAGGATGGGGACAACACATGGACTGTTGCTTTCGTGTATGAATCCTCTCTTAACAAGATCTTGAACCTGATTTTGGAGTTCCTCGTACTCTGTGATGTTAATCGATAAGCGGGTTTACTTGGAAGAATTGACCAGTATATGAGGTCGATGGCATGTTGGATGTCCTGTAGAGGTGGTAATCTATATGGGAGATCGTCGGTCATGATGTCTTGGAAATCGTGGAGTGGTTGGAATTGTTGGGGATCTCATTATCCGTGTCGGTACTTTCTAGGAGGACTAGAGCTAGTGCTAACGGTGCATCGCGGGTAGATTGCAGAAAGGTGGCCCGCGAGAATAATGCATGTTCATTGTCAATCGTGGGTCACACATCTTTTACAGGCAATAACATGATGCGTTTTCCATTCTTCTTGAATGTGTAGCTGTTTTTGAAACTGTCGTACAGAGTTTTACGGTCGTATTGCCATGGTCGTCCTAAAAGAATGTGACATGCATCCATTTAGACGACATCCCACCAAACTTGCTATGTACTTGATTGCCGATAGAGAATTCGACCAAGCATTGTTGATCGCACGAATCTCGTTTACTTTTTTGAGCCATGTAAGAGTAGGATCGTGGATGCTTTTGTGTGGCTAAACCTAGCTTCTTAAGCATTAGGTTGGATATGACATTTTCACAGCTATCGCCATCGATGATTAAACTGTAAATTTTGCCTTTGATGGTGTATGTGGTGTGAAAGATGCTGTGTCGTAGCCATGGCAGATCTCTGTCGGGTTCTGACTGAAGGACCCTTCTTATGACTTTAATAGTTTGCCTTCGTCGCCAGGAAGGGGAAGTGCTTCTTTTGAACCATCCTCAGATTGGGTTTCCTTGACTTTCTCGATTTCTTCGACGACGCCTTCTTCAGTAAATGAGATAACGTTGGTGGTGAGCATTTGGCAGCGATGTCACCGTACCTGTGGTACCTAAATCATTTTTGTGCAGGAATTGTCCCAGAGGAACTTCCTCTTTCGATTTTCATGCTGCTCGGGGTGGTTTTTCGTGCTTTTTGGTAGTGACTTGCCTGCTTCAGTCGTGGTTTTATTGGTATGTGTGATTTGAGGTGATGGTTTGTATGTCGATTGCTGGAGGAAAGAGTTTTTAGATTCAATTTACTTCTGTTGTTGTTCTACTCTTAATGCGATAGTCTAAACATCGTTTAGCGTCCAGTATGGCTAGAGCTGCATAATGTTGCTAATGGTGTGTTTTAAACCCCTGAGATAGCGAGCTATCATGTGCTCCTCTTGTTCAACTAGGTCGCACTTTATCTGTAGATATTCAAATTGTGCGGTGAAGTCCTTGACTGATAGGTCACACTGTTGTAGGTTGTGGAGCGAGAGGAACTTGTCCTAGCAATAGTGGGGCAGAAGATATTTCTTTTACATTGCTTTCTTCATTTTGGCCCACTTAGTGATCTTGTAATCCCTGTCGCGTTGTCGTTGCCGTTGCAAGTTGTCCCACCATTAGTTTGATAGCGACAAGCTTAACTCGTTTGTCCTGGGGAACCTCCTTGTAATTAAAGATGCGCTCGATCGCTTGCAACTACTCGATGAAGTTGTCGGGGTCCATACTTCTATCGAATTCTGACATGTCCGTTTTAATGCCAAACTGGCAATGGATGCCAAACGTGGGCTCCTCTCGAGGTCTCCTGTGATAGTGAATGCCAAAGCGACATGGACAATACTTGTAATCGCCGACTTTGTCGCAGTGAAGCGAATTTAGGACATCGTCACGGTCTCATCTTTGACTCTTGATGTCACGGTTGAGAGTAACGTCACCTTGAGTTCCGTCGTCCATCTCGACCAATCTTTGTTGTAAGCGACAAGTCTTGTATTTCTTTCTGGGTCGGGTCTAACGTATATCAACATGGAGGCATGATCAGAAGTGTTTCGAGAAAGAGAAGAGAGAAGGGAGGAGGAAGATACTAGAAGAGAA